AAGATGAGGTCGAAGTTATCAAAGAACTGGACAACTGATGAAACAGCATTACAGAAGTTCAATGGAGTCTTCCTTCTAAATACTGACAAACTCATTGAATTCAGAATAGCTCTCAATAACATTTTTCAGGCATTACAAGATCTACATGAAGAAGAGAAAATTATCATGGAGTAAAATGGAAGGAGACTAGAAAAGCAATAACTTCAACATACGAGTAGGTGATGACTTAATTCTCCAAGTTTCCGTCCAATACAGTAGAACTGTCTTGATGTTTGTATTGAGAATTTTGTCCTTGATGTTGGTTGATAGTTGTTTTTAGTTTCAGATGTTCTTCAATTGTAAATATGCTGCTCTTGTTTTGCCGCTCCGCGCCTTCACATCTGCATCAGATCCACTGTATTCATCAATGATGCTGCCCAGATATGTAAAGGTTTTCGCATCTTTCAAAGCTTCTTCATCAAATGTGAAAAATAATTCAAAGCGCTGAAGTTATGCATAGAATCAAATGCAAAGATGTTTCGGGTTCTCTTCAACAAGAATAGGGAGGAATAAATAGCACAGACTGGAAAGAATGATAACTCATCAAGAGACCAATGAAAGGAGATGTGAGCAAGTGTGAGAACTACACGGACATCACACTACGGTCAGTAATAGGAAAGGTTTTCAACGGAGTGTTGTTGAACCGGATGAAAGGTTCAGTGGACGCACAAATTCATGATCAATAGGTTTGATTCCGTAAGGATTGATCGTGCACAGAACGATTTGTGACACTACAAATCATTGCTGATCAATCGACTGAATGGAACTCGTCACTATGCATCAGCGTCCTTGACTATGAGAAAGCATTTAACAGCGTGGATAGGAGATAACTATAGAAACTTCCTTGGCATTATGATTTAGATGACGAGATCATCAACAACATATGCAATTCATTGAATGAACTATACTGTAGCGTCGTGCAAAGGATAGCTCACAAATACAGTGTGAGTGAAGATGGATGTCAGACAATTCTGTTTCATTTCGTTCTCTCTATTTCTGGTGATCAACCAGATTATGAAAGCCTTCACATGTGAGGTAAGTGCGGAATACAATGGACAGCTTTTTCAGTACGAGCATCAAGACAGTTCCATTTTTTTTACGAAGTTGAAACTTGAAGAACTATTATAACCATCATCAAGATTTTGCAGGTATTGATAAACAGGTGCCTACGCGATTAGTGATAGTCGAAAATGAGAGTCCAGGGTAATATTGATGTGATAATGATAATCGGTGGCTTATAGTACACGAGAGTTAATAGGGTTAAGTAAGTAATAACTCCGCCTGGAGTCCCTCCGGGGGCTACTGCCGGTCCCTAGCCCAGATAAAGGAGGAGGATTGGGCATGGGATTAGCGTCCCCATCCCGTTGAAAACTAACTCGCTAAAAAAACGCTAACCAGAAAAAAGTATTCAAACCTTTTAAACTCTGGCCCAGAAGTCAGAAGGTCTTCATTTAGAAGTACTATGACGCCTCATGATGAAAGCCGAATCCTTTCGGAAGTTACGAGGCTGATGCCCCTTCTGACAACCAGAGCGACCATTTATTTGGGTACATGGAATGTTCGTACAATATGGGACACCGGGAGAGCCTTCCAAATTGCTGCAGAAATGAGGAGATACAACTTAGAGGTGCTTAGGATCAGTGAAACACACTGGACGCAAGTTGGACAACAACGACTAGCTTCAGGAGAGCTTCTGTTATACTCCGGCCATGAAGAAGAAAAAGCTCCACATACACAAGGAGTTGCACTGATGCTGTCCAAACAAGTACAAAATGCACTTACAGGACGGGAATCTCATGGACCAAGGATCATCAAAGCCTCATTCAAAACAAAGAAAGAGGGCATTTCAATGAACATCATCCAATGCTATGCACCTACCAACGATTACAATGAAGACGCTAAAGATCAATTCTACAATAGGCTGCAGTCAATCATCGAGAAGTGCCCAACAAAGGACATGACCATTGTGATGGGAGACTTCAATGTCAAGGTTGGAACGGACAACACTGGATATGAAGACATCATGGGACGACATGGACTGGGAGAAAGAAACGAAAATGGTAAGAGATTTGCAAACCTATGTGCCTTCAATAAACTGGTCATAGGTGGCACCACATTCCCACATAAACGCATTCACAAAACCACATGGACTTCACTGGATCACACTACACAAAACCAAATCAACCATATTCGCATCAACAAAACGTTCAGGAGGACTATAGAGGACGTGAGAACCAAGAGAGGAGCTGATATAGCATCAGATCATCGCTTACTGGTCGCCAAGATGAAATTGAAACTCAAGAAGCACTGGACAATGGGGCGGACAATATCACAAAAGTTCAATACGTCCTTTCTTCAGGATACTAACAAACTCAACAAATTCAAGTTGGCCCTCAGCAACAAGTTCCAGGCCTTTCATGATCTATTCAATTGAGAAGGAACTACTATGGAGATCAACTGGAGGAGGATCAAAGAGGCGATCACTTCAACATGTCATGAGGTCCTGGGTCACAAGAAGCACCATCACAAGGAATGGATACACTGGATAAGATTCAAGAAAGAAGGAACAAGAAGGCAGCAATCAATACCAGTCGAACAAGAGCAGAAAAAGCAAAGGCACAAGCTGAATACACAGAAGTAAACAAACAAGTGAAGAGGAGCATCAGAACCGACAAACGTAAATATGTGGAAGATCTAGCAAAGACGGCGGAAAAGGCTGCCAGAGAAGGAAACATGAGACAACTGTATGACATAACAAAGAAACTCTCTGGAAATCCCCGCAAACCAGAACGACCAGTGAAAAGCAAGGAAGGCAAGGTAATCACCAACATTGAAGAGCAACGAAACAGGTGGGTAGAACACTTCAAAGAACTCTTGAATCGACCAGCTCCACTGAACCCACCCAACATCAAAGCAACTTCAGCGGACCTCCCAATCAATGTTGGCCCACCAACAAATGAATAAATCAGCATGGCCATCAGACAAATCAAGAGTGGCAAAGCAGCAGGACCAGACTACATTCCAGCAGAGGCACTAAAAGCAGACGTAGCGGCAACCGCAAGGATACTCCACATTCTCTTCAATAAGATTTGGGATGAGGAACAAGTACCAACAGACTGGAAAGAAGGACTTCTGATCAAAATACCGAAGAAAGGCGATCTCAGCAACTGTGATAACTACAGGAGCGTCACTCTTCTTTCAATACCGGGAAAAGTCTTCAACAGAGTATTGTTAAACAGGATGAAGGACTGCGTAGACGCCCAACTTCGTAACCAACAGGCAGGATTCTGTAAGGATAGATCGTGTACAGACCAAATCGCAACTCTACGGATCATTGTGGAACAATCAATTGAATGGAATTCATCACTCTACATCAACTTCATTGACTACGAAAAGGCATTTGATAGCGTGGACAGAACAACACTATGGAAACTTCTTCGACACTACGGCGTGCCTCAGAAGATAGTCAATATCATACAGAGTTCATATGATGGATTACACTGCAAAATCGTGCATGGAGGACAGTTGACAAAGTCGTTCGAAGTGAAGACCGGTGTTAGGCAAGGTTGCTTACTCTCACCCTTTCTCTTTCTCCTGGTGATCGACTGGATCATGAAGACGTCAACGTCTGAAGGGAAGCACGGGATACAATGGACATCTAGGATGCAGTTGGACGATCTGGACTTCGCAGATGATCTGGCCCTTCTATCCCAAACGCAACGACAAATGCAGGAGAAGACGAACAGTGTAGCAGCAGCCTTAGCAGCAGTAGGTCTCAATATACACAAAGAGAAGAGCAAGGTTCTCCGATACAACACAGCATGCACCGATTCAATCACAATTGACGGAGAAGATTTGGAAGATGTAAAAACCTTTACATATTTGGGCAGCATCATTGATGAACAGGGTGGTTCTGATGCAGATGTGAAGGCGCGGATCGGCAAAGCAAGATCAGTATATTTACAACTGAGGAACATCTGGAACTCAAAGCAACTGTCAACCAACACCAAGGTCAGAATTTTCAATATAAATGTCAAGACAGTTCTACTGTATTGGGCGGAAACCTGAAGAACTACGAAAGCCATCATCCAGAAAATACAGGTGTTTATTAACAGTTGTCTACGCAAAATACTTCAGATCCGTTGGCCGAACACTATTAGCAACAACCTACTGTGGGAGAGAACAAACCAGATCCCGGCGGTGGAAGAAATTAGGAAGAAACGCTGGAAGTGGATATGACACACATTGAGGAAAACACCCAACTGCGTCACAAGACAAGCCCTCACATGGAATCCTCAAGGCTAAAGGAGGAGAGGAAGTCCAAATAACACATTACGCTGAGAAATGGAGATAGACATGAGAAAAATGAACAAGAATTGGATGGAATTAGAAAAGAAGGTCCAGAACAGAATGGGTTGGAGAATGCTGGTCAGCGGCTTATACTCCATTAGGAGTAACAGGCGTAAGTAAGCAAGTAAGTAATACCATGTGCATTCATGTGAACCGATAAAGAAAAGCCTCCACTTTTTACTAATTTATAATAATTATCTATAAACTGTACATTTGACATTTCATTTCGAAAAGAATATGACAAATGTTAAGTTTCATCCATATCTAACGTGCGATAGCATAACACTTAACAAAATAAAAAATGATATTTCGTGGACCCATAGCTTCTAAATAATCAGAAATTGTTTACACTATATGTATATATATGCTACATCCTATAAATCCCACATTAACGTATAATCAAACTGTGAAGAACTTGTATATCACTAAGTATAAATTATCACTGAATAATTAATGAGATATTTTATGTGGCCATTATACTCGTGCCCTACGACTAAAAGAAAAATAATTGATTGGCTATGTTATATATCTGATTCATTCTATAACACTTGCTATCACAGTTCGTAGTGTATTGTAATGTGTGCGTGTGCGTGTTAAAGTAATTCACACTTTACGAACAAAATTATAATATATTTTTTCTATTAAAAGATAAATTTTTATCACAGTTAAATGTTTTTACAAAATTTCATTTAGAATAACCGAATGGTAAGTTGAAAAGAACGAAATATGAATGATAAATGGTAGAGTACAGTTTCTTTTCTGTTACTTATACTTTTAAAGATGGTTTTGACGAGTTGAAAAGCCCACAGTAGACTATAAAACTACGTAATAATAAGTAGAGAAAAATACAAATAGAACAGAAGAGTAAAATACTAACAAATAAAAAATCTGAATTTATTTCGTGCAGTTTTTCTTGAAAATGGGTTGAATAACTTAAACTAAATGGGTTCCGGGTTGGTAAATATATTGGTCCTTTAACATGTATTAATCGATTTGAAAATGAGTTTAATATATTTTGATTTGAAATTCCACTTTGATTATCATCATCTTCTATCAGTTTTGGAAGTGAACTAAAAGCCAGAAATATATTAGGTCGATAATAGTAAAATAGAAGTTCAAAAAAATGTCAGTTGTCACAGTTTTAAATCATGGATTAATCTTGAATAGAACACCGTTGAAAACATGGAACCACTTGACGGCCGTTTAGTCTCATAGTAAGACAAAACGACTGTCTAGTGATTGTAGATTTTCAATGGTGGTTTAGTTAAAATCACTTTAAAACTCTGGAAATTCTACAATCTCCACGATCTCTCTGCATTAAAATATCAATTATCATTTTTTAAATTTTAATTAAATTCGAAGGGTTAAGTTGTTTCAACTCAATGGAGGGATGCTTAAAAATTTAGTCGAACATAAGATGCTATAGATGGTATTATATATATATTATATTCTTTATCCATACTCCGTATCAGCAAGTCGAATGCAACTGATTTATAATAATTACTCAGCTGTTTAATAATTATGCGATAATGTAAAATGTAGATAGTCTTAACAAAGAATATTTTGGGATTATTATTATTGATTAACACCATGTCAAGCTATATTTCTGCATGGTTATCTCTCCTCTTCGAAATGGTGCTACTCGTATTGTTGACAAAATAGATGAAAATTCCAAAAATACCTCCGTATAGATGAGTGCTAACATCAGCTAAACCACGTTTATCTAAAACATTTGACAAATCTAGAAAATTTAATCCGGAAGAAATAAATGAAGAATATGTTTTCGGTTGTGTTCTAAGAGCTTAATGATTTAACCTCAAAGCTTTGATTGTTTCCCTGGACAATATCATCAACCCCTACTTCTTACAGAAGTGAGCTTTTCACTCGTTCCATAAATATTAAATGAATTTGTACTTATGCTATAGTTTGCTATTAGTTGTCTCCCCCTTATCCAATATAATTTTTCTCGCAATTAGTGCTATTAATTTTGTAGATGACACCACGTTTGTCTTCATTTGGTTTCCTGTTTTACTGCCTTAATTGGACATGACATGAAATCATAGGGTCAAGACTACCATTAGCATAAATTTGATTGAAAAAAGTCGAACTTCTTGGTCGTGGAAATGCTAAAATTTTTAGAGAATGTTCAGAAATGGTGTTCAAAAGAACAGGCAATTAATAGACACAAACAAGCAACGTATCCTCTGCAGATGTACAATCGCAAACAAAGCCATAAGTACAAACTCATTAAACGTTTGTGAAATAATGAAAAGTGCCCACTTCCGTGTGAGACAAACCATAAGAATTTTATCTACAACTGTCAAACCTTCACAATCAAATTACCCAGGCCTGGGAACACAGTAATACCAAACGAATTTGCTTGATCTGTAGATCATCTTTCTCAATGGGAAACAAGTGAATGGGTTCGAGTTATAATTGCAATATAGAATTTCGACTATTTTCCCAATACTAAACATTGTACAGTAATAAAACGGCACTGTATAACTAAAGCATAAATTTCTAAAACATCAGTATTAATATGCTTACGTATATGATCTGACCAAAAACACTTTCCATATAATAGGCATTGAATCGGTTGAATATCCATCCATGTACCCTGTGGGGATGAAAAACGCCCTCAAATACAGACCCATCACAGCGGCAGCCACAGAAGTCATATGTGATAGACAACCATCTGGAATAATATTCAGGTGAAAAATGTGATTTCAAAAGACTAGTCAGTAATAACGAAGAAAGCAACAGGAATAACAAATAATAAATAATTGCAGGAACTATGTGAATGGCTCTATACACATCTTTAAACTATCAGACCTCCACAATCAATCATATTTGCAGATCAGTAAGAAAAGCTCTGGGGTCTTTGATCACCGAGCACCTGACAAATTAACAGTCCCAGAGGAATTAAGAATTATCGTGAAGCGATTACCTGAATAGACAGTGGTTCATCAACTATCACACGATCTCGTATAAGTAGTTTACCATACTAATTTGACGAAAACAAGAGTAGCAATTTTCAAAGAATACCAGGAACTCGTTTGGCTAGGTTTTCATCAGCTGCTTACAACTTAGAAAACTCAGACGTTGAGATGAAATATGATATTTAAAATGTGATAATGGAAAGGAAGCTAATCAATAGTGAATGTTATATGATCGCATATATCAGTCAGATACCTCAGAATCCCAAGCTTCTTAGAGTTCGTTCAGGCAATTCGAAGTAAACCCTTATTCTTGTTCTATTAACACAACTGATGTGTTATATACATGTAAATCGATACTTGAGATGTACACCTGTGAACTTTTCACTATATTAACGGATATGTTCATCTTAAAAAGAGGGTAGCTTTAGCTGTAAGATAAGTTTCCTGGAGTATAGGGTTTAGCATTTTACTCTTTTCCCTTGGACATCATTATCAGTGAAGGTTCACCATCATGCATCCTAGTCAGAGTTAGAATATATCTAGCTAGTGTTAACAAGCTGGGTTTCTTAAGTAGAGAGACTAGTTTGATATTTATTAAAAATACACTGCAAAGTACAAAAACCATTATATTACTTAACTAGTAACCAATATTAGCACATGCTTTGAACTGTTCAATTATTATTATTTATCATTTTAATATATAAACAGTGGTACAAGGCGGCATCAAATACGTATGCGTCACACAATACAAATCAGATTGTGAAAAGATGGAGAATGGAGGGTGAGTATGGTAAAAAGAACAGCAACAAGGAACAGAAATTAGTGTGTGAGAGTGAAATAATAATAGTCATAATGGGAGATGCAGTTTAGTTGTGAAAAATACAACCTTGAATAATTCTTTTATTAAAAAAAGTTACGTTCACTTTTATGAAGAAAGTGAAAGAAGGTCTGAGAGGGAAAGCCACCGGCTTCTGAATTATTTCTGAGAACGTGTCAAACAACTGTCGCACCATCTCTAGGACCCCAATCAGAGGTCATACATGTCAGATGTTTGTCTTAGATTACTTTATAAAACTATATTGAAATTAACCCAAGAAAAAAACAATTAGTGATTATTAGAATGAGTTTTGTGGAGAATTTAGGAATGCGCACTGCTGAGGAGTTCCATACTAGGACGAAACGGCCGTCCAGTGCTTCCAGGTTTTCCATGGTGGTCTAGCTTCAATTGACTCATGATTTCAACCTGTGAAATTAGTGATTAATCAAGAAAGATTGGTTCGGCGAATTCATTTTCAAATCGCAAATATATATACTTATTTTTACAGGATGATAATAATACTGATAATATAAAGTTTTCTTTTTCACTGTAATTATTTGTGTTTTCGGTTTTATGTTCTTATCAATCAATATCGAAGGATATCCGTTTTTGATAAGTATGATAAATCTAAACTGTTTTTTATATAGATTACGTCGGGTTGACAAATATTGAAGCACAATGTCGCCATCATTATGCCACTATGTGAGATCAAGTGAATTTATTGTTGTAAAGTCATTTTAAATTGTTGCTAATATCTTATCGCTTCAAATTTATTGATTCTATATTATTTTTATCTAATTAGTCTACCGATGACACATTCTTTTTAACTAAAAAAATGACCGTTTAAACATCAATCGGTTCATGATTTCAATCAAAAACTTAATAATCTCCACAACCCCTATACTACATCGAAATATTTGAAACTGAAGTCAGTTTTAGGTAAAAAAAAAGAAAGAAAGAAAAGCTAGATACTATTCTAGAATTATTCCTATTTAGTTTTTGCATAAATTTTATTATCTTCAGTCTAATGTTAATTGTTAAAATAGATATTTAGAAGAAAATTACATGTACTTGACAGGTACCATTTTTTACAGTGATAATAATTGGAATAAAATATTTAGACTAAATAGTAGTCTTAATAGTAAATGACTTATTAAATAAGAAGAGAATGGTCAACTGTACTTGTCGGACACACTTTAATCCAGTAATGGTCAGTATAGAGTGTTTTAATTAATTTTACTTTTCGTTGATAAGAAATAGTTATCAAAATAGGCAATAACAGTAGATACTGGACTTATATCAGTACCACAAATATTTGGCCTAATCTTATGATAAGACCATCTTTTTTAAAAGTGCACGGTAAACACGATGTGCTTTGTTTGAAGTATGAGAAGAGAAGACATGATGAATGTTAATTAGAAAGTTTCGAACTGAATTACATGTATTTTTAATGTCAAGTACAGACTCTATTTTTAAAATCATTGAAGATACTCTTTCAGTGTATCAGCTCTCTTCATATTATATGACTTATTCCAGGTGTATCATATAAATGTTTTAAATGTCATTGTTGTAACTACATTTGAAAACCCAGTGTAAGCACATTTCAGATAAGTGAGTTAAAAAATTAATATGATCCGTATGTTAACTAGTCTTGAAAATGCTTATAGCTTCAAAGTATTTGCGGATGATGTGAAATCATGATGAATTGTCCAACGTGAGAAAAGGCTCACTATACCACATGTTAGTCATATAACAAGCCATAAAGATATCCAACTGAATGAGAAACGGTTCATTTGTTACCTAGTGATAGAGTAATTTACTTAACTACAAAGTAAATAGATATGAGACATAGTTTGATAAAAGCAGCATATATTATAAATAACAGAAAACTCCTACTTCATCTGGCTCATATCTAAACCTTAATTATGCTCTGATGCATGTAGAATGATGCAATGGAAAACTCATGGGAGTATTCAAGAAATAATTAGCTAGATACCTAAAAAAACATGAAAATGTTTAACCGTGAACAATTCAGCATGACTTTTCTAGATCTGTAATAACAACATACACGTTTGTTAGTGACTCAAACCAAAGGTTTAAGTAGGGTCAGTGGATTCCAATAACCTTATCAAATTGATTGGTGACAGGCCCTAAGCGTCACAGTAGACGAGAGCAACTTAAAGACAGACTGACTAAAGATAAATACAAAGTCGAAGGCAGTGGCGCATAGCGAAAGTGAAGGAGATAGAGAAGGTATTGATAAAAAGTAGCACTAGATAGTTGTTCAAAATCATCAAATTGATATAGGTTAATTAATTAGCTATTAATGAGATCATTGTAAGAAATACTTGACGGTGGTAAACCCTGAGACTAGGAGGATGGAAAGATGAGTGAATCAATGTGAGGAATAATTTAACCGGAATTTATCTAGTTCCTAGTTGTTCCTAACACGATGAATGAAAGATCTATATACTTTTAAAGATCATAGATAACTTGAAGCCAAAGGCACTATTAGGAACCAATTGATTGATTACAGTGATTTTTGTTCTCATTAGTTCAGAATTATCATCAAGATTGATAGAGACAGTAAGTAGTAACTGGAATATGTGGTTCAGTTTCGAATAACTGGTTTTAATAGATGACTGTCTCCGTCTATATGAAAAAACGGAAATTCACGTAGGATAATCATAGAGGGGTTAGATTGAATGACAGTTTCGAGGATATGAACATTCATGATCATCTGTCACGAGTGCGGAAACTAAGTTGATAACGGTCAGCAGGTTTTAAACCTGCTGATGTATGTACAGATCACATAATTAACTTTCGTCAGCTTTTAGAACATAGACATATTGTCTTACTTGAAGACTGAGGCTGACATATTTTATGAAAATGTTGGTTATTTAAAGGCACAAAAAGAAGTATACGAAATTAATAAAGGTTTTTTACTCGGGTAGTACCGGTTAGGCTAAGTGTACAAGGCATATTCTCATCTCTGCATTGACTACATCGACTGGGATTCACCAGAATCTCCCAGTCCTCCCACTCATAGTCAATTTTTAAAGGCGACACTCTCAGATTTAGATCTTTAAAAACGTTTTTCTGTTCTAGAAGTCTACTCCTTGGCATGAAGTACTCAGATTATGTAGCTCGCATTTCGGGCGACACTATACCATTGCTTTTAATATGTTCATCTCTATCCCGACCGTAGCTGCTATCTTGATGCGGTGGTCGGGCTTGCCTATCGTGATGACCCAACCGAGCTATATTGGCTAAAACCTATATTCCTAAAGGTTCTACCATGCCAGGCAGGTCAACTGGAGAACGGTAAGACTAAAAGCAGCAACTCAAGGTCTGAGGGCGAAGTCGTACTGCTGACTGTAGAAGGATGTGACAGCACTAAGGTGTTCTCCTCGGAAAACCAGCATCTGCAGCGATGCTGCCTTCTCACAAGGAAGGAAGGGGTTAGAAAAGGTTGACCCTAAAAATGTCACACCTCACCTTACCTCACAGATTTCCGTCTCCGGCAATAAGGTCCTTTGAAGAACGGAGCTAACATATTAAAAACCTTCCACGAAAAGGCCATGCGCGACCGGCCTCAAGCAGTTGTCCCTTGGGCTCTGCAGTCACGCTCCCAGGTCGTTAGGACCAACACTAATCCAATTTTCTTTTCAGGCTCCTCAAGAAATACCCTTCCATGGTGTGGGCAGCCGGGAAGTGATATCAGCCCTCATACCCGTAACAGCGCACGAAACCAAGTTGGTCACATTCAAATCCTTCCTACACCTAATACCTCTCTTATTTCCATGACTCACCCTCCTCACGTCTCTTTATCACCTCGCACCGCTAGTGCAAACGATTCGAGTACGCAGAACGCTATTCCTGGTCTCCTGAAACCACGCTCTAAACTACACGTAGGAACGTTTAACGTCCGAACACTGTGCCAAATAGGACAACAGACTTTCTTTGCTAGGACTTTAGAATCCTGCGTCATCGATGTGTGCTGCGTCTCCGAAACGCGCATATAGGATCCGAGTAGCGTCATTCATTTGACCTCATCATGTCAAAATAAAGAACCAACTCGACTCACACTTCGTTTATCTGGAAGCCCTGATTCTGCTTCTCGTGGCCTCGCTGGCGTAGGAATAGTATTGAATCCTAGGGCAGAACTAGCTCTCTTAGAGTGGATCTCAGTAGACAGTCGTTTGTGCGCTGTCCGACTGAACGAAACAGTAAGGATCCGAAAAGATAGGGACACCCGTCGTTGCCTCTTCGTCGTCTCTGCCTATTCTCCCACTGACTGCAGCTTAGGTGATGTAAAAGATGAGTTTTACAGAAAGCTCTCCGACCTCCTCCGAAAAGCTAGGCGCTCAGATATGGTAATAGTGGCCGGTGAATTTAATGCCCAAGTAGGTAAACTAAGCGAAAGGGAAAGACACCTGAGTGGATCTTATAGCATCGTGGCTCAAAGAACAGATAATGGCAACCGCCTGTTGCAGCTATGCTCAGATAACCGTCTGTTCCTTGCAAATACTAACTTTAAGCATAAGCAAAAACATCTTTTAACATGGTGACCCCCTAATTCGTCCCAACGTTGGACCCAAATAGATCACATCGCTATCAGGAACAACTAGGACAACAGTTAGGCAGCCATGTATGTGATGCCCACCCCGAGGCAGCATGGAATGATATCCGAAAAGCTGTGGAAACAGCAGTGATATCTGCTAGTACGGTAACCCGTAAGGTTAGGGAGCGACACTGGATCTCAGCAGCATCTATCGCACTGATAGATGCTCGGAAACTCATTCCACCTGGCTTTGAACATAATGAGGAGCGGAGTCAGCTTAAGCGCAAGGTGACAAGAAGTCTACGCAATGATCGTGAACAGTGGTGGGTAGCGAAAGCAAGAGAGATGGAAAAGGCAGCGGCAATAGGTAATAGCAGACGATTGTTCAGACTTGTTAAGGAAACCGCTATTAGGAAACCGACTGTTAGCGAAACACTCTCAGAGAAAGATGGACATATTATTCATTCTCAATCCAAGAAATTGGATCGATGGGCAGAACACTTTAGGGATCAGTTCAACTGGCTTTCAGCCACACTTCGGTTTCCCACAATCTGCAGTCAACATCAATATCAAGTTAATGTAGGTCCTCTGTCTCTCTACGAAGTTGAAAAAGCCACAGGAAATCTGAAGCGAGGGGGATCAGCAGGCCCTGAGATGTTTAAGGATGGCGGTCCAGTATCAGCAGCGAGATCGACTGAGGTCTAGGGTAGAATTTGGCAACTGGACGTAATCCCATCTAACTGGTCTCAATCACTGGTTGTGCCAGTCTATAAGAAAGGACAAAAGTCCTCTTGTGACAATCGCAGAGGAATCAGTTTGATTAATATAGTGTCTAAAATATTAGCTTCAATAATACTTCGACGCCTAACTAAAGCTCGTGAAGAGCGGACTAGAGAAAACCAGGCTAGTTTTCGACCTGGACGTGGTTGTATAGATCAGATATTCACACTACGTCAGGTTCTAGAACATAGACACACATTCAGACGCCCCACAATGGTAGTATTTCTGGACCTTAAGGCGGCATTAGACTCTGTTGATTGTAAGGTTCTATGGCAGTGTTTATCACTGAAAGGAGTACCAAAGAAGTACATTAACCTTATACAGGCTCTCTACTCGAACACAACTGGTCGAGTGAGAGCTTATGTGGAACTGTCATGAGAATTGATTACCTCAAGTGGTGTTCGTCAGGGCTGTCCACTCTCTCCTTTCTTGTTTAACTTTGTGGTCGACGTACTTTTAGAGATAACATTTTCCTCATCTAAATTTCCAGGGGTTGTACTTCTACCGGGAGGTTCACTTGTTGACTTAGAATATACTGATGACATAGTTTTATTTGGCGAGGACGCTGACAAAATGCAGAGTCTTCTGACCACTCTAAGCAACAATGCAAGCATGTTCGGCATGCGATTCTCTCCCTCGAAATGCAAAATGTTGCTTCAGGATTGGGTTGCATCGACACTCGAACTAATGATAGGGAGTGAAGTAATTGAGCGTGTTGATCGCTTCACTTATCTTGCAAGTCCCATCAGCCCTTGTGGTCTGGTGTGTGACGAAATCTCAGCACGGATACAGAAGGCTCAACTAGCTTTTGCCAATTTGCGTCACTTATGGCGTAGGCGAGATATCCATCTATCAACCAAAGGACGTGTTTACTGTGCAGCAGTTTGTTCCTTCCTACTTTATGGCAGTGAAACATGGCCGGTAAGAGTTGAGGATATCCGTAGGTTACTAGTATTTGATCATAGGTGTCTTCGAAATATTGCTCGTATATCATGGGACCATCGAGTAAGTAATGCAGTTGTTAGGAAACGGGTACTAGGTAAGGATGGTAAATCAATTGATGAAGTAGTGAAACTTCATCAGTTGAGATGGCTGAGACACGTGCTACGTATGCACAACCACCGACTGCCTCGATGTGCGATGTTCAGTGGTATAGGAAGAGATTGGAAGAAAGCTAGGGGCGGCCAGACCAAAACATGGCACAAGTCCATGAAGTCACTGTCAAGTGAACTGAGCCATGTTGGTAGGTGTAGACCACCAGGTTGGGGACCGCGAGATGATAGCAACCGATGGTTAGGGATCATGAATAACATGGCTCAAAATCGTTTGCAATGGCGCAGGTGCATCCACTATTTGTGTTCTCCCAAATTCTAATCTTCTGAATTCTTCATGTTCCTTTCTTTTTTCTCTTTCCAAATTTATTTCACTGAATTATACTCTTTAAATAACATCTCCAAACCCTAATCTTCCCGATCACTGCTTACACTCTTGCTACCTCTACCACTACGGGATTTGGATCGACAACTGCATCTCTGTGTTAAGGTGATGTGGCAACTTGAACTGATGTACGTACGTACGAAGTTCTACGTTGTTACTGGTTGACTGACTGACTCATCTCTATGCAAGTTTAAAACGTCTATCCTGGACTAATTGGTATTGATAATCAGTTTAGTTATGAGCAAAAAAGTATTCGAGTGTGTTAGTTATCTTAATAGTTTTAAATGTCTTACCACCCACCTGCAATTCAGGCGTGTTTACTATCTGTCAGTTAGGGAACAAATGTCTTCTACTAGGATTTGACCTGAAATATGGCTCGATAAGACAGGTGAGTAATTTCGTACTATTTAATTACGGATTTTTTCTAGATATCGATGTAGTATAAATAAACCATCAAATAATGTCAGATCCAGATCAATCATCAAGAAATTACTTATTCTCGAATCTGGTTACCTAGACGTTACTCTTACAAAAACGCTTTCAAATGAAGCCTGAAATAGACAAGTAGCTATTTTCTCCGTATGATTACTTGTAAACGAACGCTGAAGTTAGCCTGAAAAGGAGAGTAAGTTTATGATCTGAGAAGTAATCAATAACTCTCTTCAGGGACTATCAATAGTAATTCCATCACAGTTCACCCACCTATTTGACTGTGATGCTTGATATGTTAATAAAAAAATCATAAACCGTAACCATTATTGTAAATAAATACAGTAATAATATAGAATTATCAGACACTTTCAATCCATTAAAATTAAAACAGGGCAACTTAACAACGACATGCAGGTTCGGACACTGACCTAAGTATGATTTTACGCATCTGCTTAAACACAGTATATGGAGAATGTGTTAAGCAATTATTTAAAAGCTTAAAGATGCCATCACTTTTAACCCAATAAACACTTTAACAAGATATATAACATTGACCTAAGTGGTAGAAAGTGAATCATACTTACATGTTTTGCACAATAGTGAAACATTCAAAATACAATAATAAGCACACAAAGTGAACTTTTAGGGAGCTCAGAATAAACACTTGGTAAAATGTTGATTTTACGGTGGAATTAAACAGTTTGGAATGTTGATGCAAATTTTTCAAAAGTGAACTCAAAAGAGCGGAACCAGTGAGAGTCAATGGTAAGAACAGAGCCTAAAAATAGTAATTTAAAATAAGTGTCTGCTGACAAATACTATATGCTGAAAATACAAAAATTTACAACCTCACCTGCGTGTCTGCGTTCAACAAGGGGATGGCGTTCGTGAAACATGATTTTAGTATTTCTATGCTCGCTTTTTTCACCTGCTGGACCTGAAGAAATAAAACATCCAGAAGGCTGTTGCCACGATAAAATTCTGCTCAGAATAGAAAACTGAATAAAATTTTCGTAACCAAGACCTCCGCACACAAACACTAGAAATACAGTTAATCATAAAACATACATTATTAGTTTAGAATTTTGAAAGATCAAGTATAAGTAGTATTTGAAGTTTCCAGCCAAAACTTGTTTAAACACAATATCTCAACTACAATCATCCATAGTTTTCCGCTAAAGTAACAGTTACATGCAACTTATTAAATATATTTACAAAATATTTTGGTAAACAGAGTATCCCAAGATTGCAGACTATTCATACTAAATTTATTGAAGGCTATTTACATGAAAATGTTCTGTGGACGTGGAAGATTTGGTCAACCTTCACTGATAGAACGACTTAATTTATTATCAGTATATAGGTTTACTCATCCAAAAGGTGTACAACCTGAATATGAAACGTGCCTATTAAAGATGAAATTTGGAATAAGGGTTTATACATCCGGTGAGTTATTGCTTTTTATTACTTAAATATTGTAAGAGCATTGGAGTAGTTATTCAGAAGTCAGAAAACACGTTGTTAGGAAATGAGAATGAGTTAATTGATGCTTTCAAGAAATGCAATTGAATTATATTTGCACATCAACTGTGTCCAAATGCCAACCACTTTAGTATCAGATTTAAAAGTGTTTGGTGGGTAAAGTGTCTATGGTCAAAATATGAATATCATCCTTAAATCCACAAATGGTGTAGCTAACTGTGAGCGCTATTTCTATATTGTCTGGGTTAACAAAAGACTGAAACTTTGATTGGCGCAGTTTGAAAGTAACGTTTGTAATACTGATGGTAACGCTTCATTTTATAAAAAATCTTAACTACGTATGAATTTCATATTTCTTACGTTATTTTACTTTTTTGCTTTCTTATTCTTACCATTTCTGTTCGACGTACATGTTGAAACCATTTCTCTGAATGAACGTCTAATTGATTTAATTTATCAATCAAATAGAAAATGAGACGAAAAATATAGTTAACTGGATTAAGAAAGAATGTAAACTCCATCTACAACATAACTACTGTCTTAAGGCCAGTAACTTCCTATAATGGTTGTGAGGTAATTTTTGACGAATTTGCATGAAGTGCATGGGATAAGTGCAAACGATTAATGACCGTTTCAAATAATAAAACATCTTCGTGGGTTAGTGACATGTATAAAAAATCCACAAATGTTGAATAGCGGATCCAAACTTTGCTCTAGTTACCTTTGTTTGTGTAGTTGTGTAATAACTCTAAAACCGCACAACAGTGTGAATCATCTGGTTCATAAGTGGAAATAAAACCCGGTGCTATGTTCAGACGGCTACCAATCCAAAACTAAGTACACTAAAAACTTCATTGAGATTACCAGTAGTACAAACTACTTTCATAAAACTTAGTAAGCAGTATCTTGATGTTTTAAAACCGGAAATGGAAAAGTCCTCCTTTACATGTTAAAACGTTTACTTTTGTTATCTTTATAAACTCTTCAAAAACCCGTTACAGAATATTATTTGTGGACAAATATTAAACTTATTATCAGTGTAAGGAATAGGATTCCTATTTGATAGGAAGTGTGCTTCTAAAACCACTTACAGAAAAACCTTCAAAAGAAATGTGTATATCAGCCATAATCAGCGTCTCATGTTAAAAAGTGTATGATGTACACACACATTAATAGACTCATTTAATTATTATTTTTATTGCATTCAAGGCTCACTGAGTTTGAGAGCTACTGCGTTACTACCATGCTATGGGATCTACTTTTGTAAAATCTATAACAGGCAACAATTCAGAAAAATGCCTAACTTAAGTAGTACCGTCAGCATTTTACCGTTTCTCAAACATCATGATAAGGTAGGATTACTAGGATTAACTGCTAAGATTGCAAAAATAATGCTATTAGGTTTTTACATGAAATCAGGGTTGAAAACATACTTTTTTCAAGTAAAATATCCCGATTTTGAGGGATCATCTCCACACGCAGAAACAATTTAACGAAGTCTCTAAACAAAATTGAACACAGTTTATTTTGTAAGGCTTCCACGTTGATCGAGAGATTTGACAACATACCATCCAGGGAATCAGTACAATTAACCTATTGATAAGATTATATAATGCTGAATTACTTGATGTGAAATTAGAATGTATAGAACTTGGTGAGTCAATTCATAACCACGAGAGTGAAAGTTCATGAGCTTTAGGATACACTTCATTGAAAGATGACAATCAAAAGTCCCATAATGGTTGGCATTTAGTAGCTGAATAATACAATCATCACTAGAAATATTTTGCACGCTTGGTATGAATAATGAATTTGACGAAAAAGAATACAGGATGTTCCTACTGGGAAAAGTCCATTTCAGTGCCAAAAGTTGACCCATTTTCATAAAGTAGGGGTCTCTTGTCTTTTCAAAGAGTTTCACACTTTCCCTAATGATCGCGTTTATCCTCGAAAGTTGAATCTTAAGTTTCCTCATCAGTGGTAACAACGCGAACTTGACATCTTCATAGTTTTCATACAAAGATTCATCAGTAATACTTTCAAGGGCTCCTGAAAGATTTATAAGAAGATTCCTTACCTTTTAAAGGTATAAGGCCAAATATACCATCAAAATTAAATTCACTGCTATGTTGTTCGTAGTAATAAATAAGTTTATCCAACGACAACAGCAGTCCTTCTAATTTTTCCGACATTGAACTGTACCCTGACACTGGAGTCAAGACATACAGTGTGAAAATAAGTTTCCAGATTGTTTTGTTCATTTCTAGAACTGAAGATGTATTCTAGGACTTATAAATATATATCGACTGATGTTTAACAATAAAGCTAAGGTGAATACGAAAATCTTAAACCTCTAAAGTCTACTTCTACTGAGTCAGCGAGTCAGTAGAAGCGATAAGTCATAATTGCCTGACAACTCATAATCAATTGGCTGCTATTTACCTAGGTAAATTTAAAAGATATTGGTGCATTAAAACACACCACATTATCCGCAACCACTTGTTTCTGATGAAAAAGATAAAACGCTACTCATCCATCACTTGTATTCGGAACTAGTAATACTATGAGATCCAATCTGCTTCTAAATGTATTAATATAAGCTTGATGATGTTATTTTTCAGACCCGAATTTAGGATGGTGCGTTGAAGACAATAGCCCGAAACGTTTACCCTAAGCTTTATCCGGTATGCTACTGTGAGTGTCTGAATGATTCAACTGAAGTTGTTGACACCACTTTATCAAATATTGGGTTACTAGAGTTGATCGATCTGTAAGAAAACCTGTTGCCATGACAGTTCTGTTCATTATTGGATTGCAAACTAACTGGTTATAGTCTATGTGTTGTTCTTACCCCACTCATTGAGTACGAAGGATAATACTAGGCCCAAAATTATCTCCAAGTAACCTGTTCGTCAAAATCATGGCGCTTATAAACCTATTGTGGGACAGCGTAAAGAGGACTAAATCGTCATGCTGAACCGTGTATGAAAAATCTCGAAGTTCCAGTTGTGTACAAATTGTTGTTCTGCGCACACTTTTCGCCATATCCAAGCCAAGTTTTAGACATGGACACGCGGCTTGTACGCAGTTTTTCAGTTTGGATCTTAGTAGAGTAATGTACACCGTGATTAATATGCTCGTCCCAGAACTGGTGAATATCTGCCTTGACAGTCATAAGATTCCAAGCCCCTAACTTCAGTCAGACAGCAGTGAAAAATAGTCATCAGATTTCGAGTTACCGTGACAACTTAATTGCTATGGGTTAAGGTGAATAATGCTGATGATTCTCTTGTGATACGGCTAATGGCATCAATATGTTCAGTATCCATGTAGGCGTGCTTAACCGTACCAGTACATATGTAGGGTCAATTAATTGTCACGGCCCTTTCCGAATCGTCCGTCAGCCTGGTCACTGAATATTGGACGGTTTACCGATTATCATTAAGGTTGAAATGACCGACGCGCATAAATTAATCGCAAGTCATGGACTGACCTATATGGCTGTGGTCACACCTTATCGCTTGTACTTACACTTACTAAGATCTGTAACGACGATGTGTGCATTTTACGGTCATCAATATAGTCATTGTGCCTGAACACGACGAAAGCGTAGTCCACTTTGGGTACTAACCATGAGGTGTAACTTCGGAGTTAGCTGGTTGAGTCGCCATTTTTCGTTAACTCAAGTGGTGCTCGAATCATCAGACATAGATCACTTAGGTTGGTGCTCAGAGGAAACTACTGACAACTTGAGTCAACTTAGTACAAAGTTTAGGCTGGCTTGGAGACTTTATACATCACCAACCTTCATGTTTCCACTAATCAGAGTAATAGAACACTTGCGAACTGACGATGCTTTGAATCTGCTTGTAATAATTTGAAGTATTTAATAATAATAATAATAATAATAACAATAATAATAATCCATTCTTAAACAACAGTATGTTACAAGAGATATGCCACTTTACAGGCAAGATCTAATTGAATTATTATATGAACTAAGAATCGCAGAAATAACACAATTTAACCAAGAGGTATTAGATGAGCACGAACGAACGTATTGTATTTGGGATTCGAAATCAGACAGTCATCTTGTACAAAGAAATCATTCACTCATGCAAACACCAAAGTACTTCAGTATGTAAAGCTGTAGGAAATGCAGTTGAGACGATCTTTACGCATCCATATAGACTAATCCCTTTGTCAATTGAAGGTTCAGGAGGAGACGTCTTGCCGGAGTAATTTACTACTACATATGCTTTGTCCTACTCCCTCTCATCCGTCCGAAGTGTGTGGTGCTTACTGTTCTCAAAAGTGCAATATCTACCAGTTTCGAGCATACTTATGTTCTTTTATTTGATGAGTGCTGCATATAAGAGCATTATCTTCGCTGAGGATTTCGCATAGATCATTCACGGCTATCCATGGATATCTCCTATGTACCCAACGCTGTAGCCCATCTCAACTTGCCGGATGCTAGACGTTAAGCAAACCATGGTCAGAGTATGAAATGAAGTCATTAGACATCGCGCCATTACATGAGACATTTTTCCGTTAGATAAACTAAAATATGCCTGAAAATGCTTGATAAAGTACACACATTGAAACGCGAAAATCTACTCTCTACAAATTCATCGGGCTGAATTCTGTCTTCCTTGGGTACTTAAGCTCGTCTTGCAAGATTTTTTCTGATTTTATCCGAGAAGCACAGATTTCAGTGACACTTATTCCGAACTGACTTTTAGAGGTCTGTTGTACTTCGCATTGCCTGATGGGGTTTACTTAATTTACAGGAAATGTAACCGATCATAGGGTTCCTGTAGGGAGCAATTTCCTACAGATTTAATTTTAAGCTATTCTCTAGACCGTCGAATACAGAGTCTTGGTTTGGCCAAAGTCAGAACAAGTAAGCTATTTGGCTATATAAACTTTATCTGTTTCTAAAACATAAATTAACATCGTTAGTGTGTAAACGAAACAGTACAGTCTATTAATACACGGAAAAAGAGACAATAACATACCGAACAGTAGCCAGAGAATAGGAAAAATGAGTCAACGAGCAAATATTGTTTTACAATGAACATTAAACTGTGATTGGTTAACAGTCGTACAAGGTCAAAGGAAGTTAATGTGGTGGTGGGCGTTTCCCTTTATTATTGGTGGGTTCATTTATCGATCACATTTTACACTCCCCCCGAAACGCGCACCACGTCCATTGTCCAGAGCCGTCGTCGCCGTCAGACAACCGGCTTCTTCCAGCAGGCATAGGCTTCGTACATCTCTGACGATTTCTTCGTTTGAAGTTCTCAACTTTGCCGTGCGGACTCGTCCGTCCGGGCAATAGCTTACTTGCTCGACTATAGCCTTAGGCCATAGACCTCTATTCATTTCGACGTTACTAACGAGGACTAAGTCACCCGGTTGTAAGTTCTTGTGTACGTCCAACCATTTGTCTCTTGCTTGGAGAGTCGGTAAATATTCTTTTATCCATCTATTCCAGAATGCAGTGGTTAGTCTTTGAGCTTCTTTCCATCTTTTGTTGTATAATAACGTCTTATCCGCCGAAGCATCGTCGAATGATAATTTTTTATGAATCAACAACAACTTGTTCGGAGTAAGAGCTTCTAGGGTACCAGGGTCATCTGTTATCTTAACCAGAGTTCTGTCATTCAGTATCCGTTCCGCTTCAGTTAAGAAGGTTTGCAGAGTTTCATCGGTCAACACATTTTGGAATAAAAGCACTCTTAAGATTCTTCTAATTGATCTTATGATGCGTTCTCACACACCACCTCGATGACTTGCTCTAGGTGGGTTAAAACGCCACTCACATTCTCGTTCTTTAAGGTGGTTTTCTATTTTATTAGTATTCCAGGAACGTATAATCTGTCTCAAACTGGCATCTGCACCTCGGAAGTTTGTGCCGTTATCACTAAAAATACGCTTTGGACATCCTCTTCTGGCAATAAATCTTGATAACGCGCATTGAAATGAATCCGTATCTAAAGAGTAGGCCATTTCGATGTGAACGGTTCTAATAGATAAGCAGGTGAATAAACAGCCATAACGTTTCTCGACGACTCTACCACGTTTGGCGTAGAACGGCCCGAAGTAATCCACACCTACTTGACTAAAGGGTGGCGAATGAGTCTCTACTCGGTATTCCGGCAACGGTGCCATTAATTGGGAACATGGTTTAGGATAAAGTCTTCTACATAAAAAGCATCGTTTTAGAACCTTCCGAACAGCAGAATAACCTTTTACAATCCAATACTCCTCACGAATACTACTCAAATTTTGAGTAACTCCAACATGTGCGTTGATCACATGATAACGCATTATAATCATATCTGTAACAAAATGATTATTAGGAAGAATAATCGGATATTTGGTTTCAAAGGGTAAACATGATAACTGCAAACGTCCTCCCACGCGGATTTTGCCTTCAAACATAAAAGGGTTGAGATTTCTTATAGAACTTTGACGAATTAATTTTTTTCTCCTGTTCACTTCTTCCATTGCTTCTTGACCTTTTTGCTGTCTAAAAGCGTTTTCTCCGAGCGTCAACGGTGAGCTGTTTAGAATTCTTTTTTCGGCCGGGTACGCGATACTTTGGACTAATTTAATTATGTCATTCTTCGAATTTTCGATATCCTGAGCACTTAGCGCACCTAAGGTTAGACGATTTCCGTTCTTCTTGTTTAACATATTATTGATAAGCCGTCTACAGTATGAAAATACCCTTAGAAGTCTGGACTACGACTTGCATGTACGAAATCGATCTAGGAACTCATTATCGTGTCTTGGGAGTTCGAAATCCTCTGTCGATACATGGGCTATAGTGTTCTCAATCTTTTCTACTTTAGGCCAATTATTTTCTTCCTCCCACGAGAATCTCGGCCCTTGTAACCACTCTCTTACCTTAGCCTTATCATTTAGTTATAATTCACGAGACGCGTGATCTGCAGGATTCAATTTACCTTTCACATATCTCCATTGACTCGGCGAAGACAATTCGTGTATAGTTTCTAACCTGTTACTCACAAACCTTTCAAATCTTTTAGTCGTATTTTTTATGCAATGAAGCACAACTGTCGAATCGGTCCAATAAATGACTGACGAAATGGGGATACTTAACTGTTCCCTTATGTGCCTCCCAACCTTAGCACACAGAACACAGGCCGTTAATTCCATTCTGGGTATAGTAACAAGTTTTAGAGGAGCAACCCTAGACCTAGCTAGCAGGAATGAACAATGGATCTGACCAGAAACACTTTCATAACGAATATACGCAACAACACCATACGCAAGCTTGGAGGCGTCGGCAAAACAATGAATTTGCGCAGATGATGGTTCAAACCCTGGTTTCAAACATCTTGGTATTCTTAAGTGGTCTAACCCTTTTATATGTCTACACCAATTATTCCACTTTGCTTGACAATCTATGGGTAACTCGG